TCAAGCTCAAGCTGAAGTGGCAATCTCAGCATAACGTTGTTACGTAGCGCACGGGGTTGGACGTTAATGTTGACTTGCCCCAAGATTGCACTGCAATCAATTCTACCTTGTAAAGTGTCCGCAATGAACAGGGCCCTAGAGGTGTCTCTTCTAGTTCGGAGAGGTTCCAGATCAATCAGCTGGCAACGACTTTCATAGCTGGGCAGATGAAATGGGTCTCTCCAAGGCAGCTTCCGCAGAGCGAATCGAAGAAAACGGCGTTGAACGGACTCAACTCTCTCAGCACCATTGACTCAAGACCACAGAACAATATTCCAGAATGGATCGCACCAAGGAACAGTACAGTGACTTCAAACAGTAGATGTCGGAGAAATTCTTTGCTATCCTGAAGATAAATCCCAATGTCCTAGACGCCTTGTCGACAACGTACGAGATGTGCTGCTTGTACGTAAGTTGAGAATCCAGAACACCCAGATCTTTCACATGGTTCACACGGTCGATTACAGTGCCGATAAGTTTGTATTCAAATGTGATTGGTTCTTTCTTCCGAGTAAAAGTGATCACTGAACACTTAGTGGGGTTAACCACCATTCGGTTCAAATTACACCAGCTGGCAAAGGCTTCGAACTGACGCTGAAGGAAGTGACAGTCCTCAATCGAGCGGATTCGTAGGTAGATTTTAAGATCGTCTGCATACGATAGTCGTGGGCCTTCGATGACCAAGTTCACGTCATTGAAGTAGAGTAAGAAAATCAAAGGTCCCAGGTGACTTCCTTGAGGTATTCCTGACGTAGCTAGATAGATATTGCACCGGTTGTCACCAATGGCAACCATCAGTTGCCGATAAGTGAGATATGAACGAAACCATCGCAAGAGGTTGCCGCTGACCCCAAGTCTATGCAACTTGGCAATCGCGATGGCATGGTTTAGCTTATCGAAGGCAGCTGACAAGTCGGTGTATATGACGTCTGTTTGAGTCCTCTCTGCCATGCTTTCCGTAAGATACGATGTCAAACACAGCAGATTTGTGGAAGTAGAACGGCCGGAAGTGAAGCCGTGTTGATCACCACTTAGATACTGCTTACAATGAGAGAGTAGAGGCTCCATGATAACTAACTCGAATAACTTCGAAACTGCACTCAACGACGTAAATCCACGATAATTGTCCACACCCCGTTTGCTGCCCTTTTTGTGGATAGGAAACATATGTGCGAATTTCCAACAAGATGGAAATGTACCACTCGAGATGGACAATCGAAATAGGTGAAGCATGGGCATCAGCAAGCTGGCGATATGCTTTTTCAGGAATATGGATGGAACGCCATCGGGTCCTGGATTGAAGGACGATTTGAGTTGTGATGCGGCAGTGGAAATCATCTCGACGTTGACATCCATCGCACCCAGTGTTTGACCGTACAGTGGAACATTACTAGCTTCAAGGGTAATGTGTTCATCAGTTAATCTCTCATTCGTGAAAACACTGGCGAACTTCTCAGAAAACAAGCTACAGATCTGCTGAGGAGTGGAAGCAACTGCTCCATTCAACACCATTGAAGAAGGTAGGCCGGATTCCTTGCACTGCTCATTTACGTAATTCCAGAATGACTTCGGGTGCGACTTGAGTTTCCTCTGAATCCCTCGTTGATATCGCGAATAGCATCGACGGCTAACTCGCTTGAACTCATAATTGAACCTAACGTAGTGACGTTTCAGCGAAAGCGTACGATACTTAATGAATTTTCTTAATGTGGTAAGGCGTTTTCCCTGGAAGTCATGGAAACATCAGGTGGCGAATGGACATGAACAATCTCAAGTGGATACTCGCCGTAGTGAGTAGGTTGGAAGACCCCCTCTCCACATCCAACCACAGGCCCGGAACGACTATGAAGATCGGAGGCGGCAGATGGCAGGACTGGGTCAGAGAGATTGGGGGCTTCCACAATGCTTTCTACAGCGCGTCCCAGGTTCCAATTAACAGGAGTAGAAGCATTTCCTCGATCGGTGACATCCAGAGTGCTGAAATTCAACTCGGCATCAGGCAGCGAATGTTCAGAATAATATTTGTACTTGCCTTACATAGCAAGTTGGAAGCCCCCGATCCACATCTAAGCTCAGGGCCGGGACGACATTGATGTACACTGGCAGGAATCGGCACGACTGAGTTAGAGGAACCGAGGACTTTCCAAGTGCTTTCTACGGTGCGCCCCGGTTGAAAATACTCATCATTCGTTCCTGCGATGCGTCTATTTGTCCGAAGTGCAGCAGCAACAGGATTCACTTCATCATGGTCCAGGCAGCTAATGATAACCTGGGTGCGGGAAAACTCGTCACGCAACGAAAAGCTCGAATCAAAACAGTACTTGCCTGTGCAAACATGGTGGAAGACTCCCTTTCCACCACCAACCACAGCACCGAGACGGCTGTGATGAACGGAGGCTTCGAGATGCCGGACTGGGTTGGGGCGATTGGGAGCTTCCATCAGGCTTTCTACGGTGCGTCTCGGTTGAATTTCTGGAAGTGTAAGCTGTCACTCCATAGGGGCAGCATTCGTCAATTGGGTGATTTTCAAGCTTCGTGAATCTTCGAACTCACGGAACTGGATACTCTCAGGCCAAGAGTCGCAAGAAAGTGCCAGGTCACGCAGTTCTTTCTTGACGCCAATTTTGAACGATACGAAGTTCAGCGTTGTTGGATCTCTACCTTTGGGTACCAGTTTGGCCACCATTGGTGTTTCACTAGGGTCCAGTGCCAGACAGTTACGAACGAGTGATGCAATATCTTCGTTCGTGGTACTGGGGTGAAACGCCGATAAATATACCCACACCTTATCCGCATTTTGGTTAACTGTTTTAATCGACTTATGGTTAAAGAACAGGTTGAAATGTCGGTGTTAGAACTGAGAAAAAGGCTTCGGCCGGACATACACTAGTTCAACCAACCTGACCGGTGATAGAGCAACACTAAGGTTGAACTGCATGGGCCTGCAAATCCTGTCCAACGTCTGGAAATCGTTGTTTAATCCTTGGTAGCTTCGGTGTCACTAGTCCCAATCGTTGAAAATGGCAATCGTCATGCCAATTAGTAGTGATGATTAATAGTTGGGTCCAATATGCAATGGCGCAATGAGGCCTTATACACAAGGCGGTGGTACCAACCTAGTAGCGGTCGTGATGGCGATCGAAGTATTGACGGTGTTTGATGATGGCGCAGATGCCCTTTGTAGCGATAAAGGACAGTATGAGATGGCGTAGGTCCTTTGAGGAATAATGACGGCCTTCCGTGATGGCGCGAATCCATTCAGGTGGACACAAAGGCACTTCTTCGATGGTATGCAATGGCGGTGTTCGCTTATATCCCAACCAGACTCACCGGTGGCTAGTATCCAGCTCGAAGGACCAAATTATGTTGGGATACCTTCGGTACTCGTCCTTGGGTGACCTTGTCGCATCGCTGGACCAGCCGTTTGCTGTTGGTGGTACTTCGCTGGCATTGGCTGAACAATCCCTGGAATTTCGGATTACACTCTTCGGGGCACAATGCACGTTAACACCAGTTACAATTAATTACACCTTATTCAAACGAAAACTACATATATTTACATACACTATTTCACATCAAACATTTATTTGATTTGATACGTGTGGAGGTTTGCCCGACGTTGACCGTTCGCGAGCTGTGGTAGAAGCTGACTGATTCTCTGTGTTTATCGTCGTTGGTTCTCGGTTCTCTTCCTTGCAGTAGTATGGGTTGAGGCGAAATCATTCCAACCGATGAGTGCCCGCCTTACTCCGACATGGCTCCTCAAGTGATACAGTGCGATCACTCGACCTGACTGCATCCATACGAATCGATCACATCATTCGCAGACAGGTCAGTTATCGGTTCGGGTTTTTTTTCTAGTATTCATTTGATATTTTACAAAATATTTCGATAACTGACTAATAGCAAAACAAGGGTTTACAACAAGCATACCAAAATAAGGCATTTGGGGAAATTGATGTAATGTCGGCCTAAATGCCTCTAATTTTGGGCCCACACATAAATTCCAAAAATATCCATTAGTACTGTCTCAATGACGCGTTCGTCTGGATAAAATTGATAAATAGCAGATTTCTAACGATGGGCCCAATCTTAGATCCATAGGCCAACCTTAGAGCCATTTCCCCTATATCTTATTTTGATATTCATATGTAATCGATTAGTTACCGGTTCTTGCTCGGATATTCAACCACAATGATATTATATTCAGCTATAAAAAGTTGATAGCCGGGTATGAGAACTTGTTTTAAATTAGGTTTAAAACTTTACTCGGCTGGTGTGTCATTGGTTTGGTATTGTAGGAAATGCTACATTTGCTTAATTTCATCTGGTTTGAACTTCAAACTCATCATCAAACGAAACGTAACGTGAGAACAGTAATTCATGCGTGTTTACATTTTTTTTTTAATTTGACATGCTTGCGATCGTGTCAGATCAGACAAATCAATCAACTTCCAATGCATTTATTTATATTTCAAGCGATTAATAGCCCTATTCTGTGAGTCATTTAACTCTCTGCCCTAGGGAGGTGACGTCGTATGAGAGGACTTTCCATTTGTTTATTTGCACGGAGAGTCACCTCACTCGACTCGCATAATAAGCGGAAGTACCAATTATTTTCGTCCATCGAGTAGGATATTACTGAAACAATTCGCTTGATTGGAAAAGCACCATCATCGCAAGCTTCTCCTATGCTCCAACAAATCGAACAATACAAACCAACTGTTAGCATAAAGACATGTTGGGAAACAGTCTATAAATAATTTATCGAATCACTTTCCCACTATTTATACAGTACCTATGTAGGAATTCCAAACTCTCAAACCCAGCAGCTAGTTGCGAGAAGTTTCTTCTTTTTCGTTGCAACTTGTTACTATGAAGCACTGAGAAGCATCCGCAATCCGCCATCATCGCATCATATTTTTTGTTCGGATTATCATGAATAAAAGACGAGATCTATCTATATATATAAGGATGGACGGTAGGGGTGGAGAAGGAAGCGTGCGGATAGGGAGAAAGTCCATTAGTCTCTTCCTTTCCGGGCGCATTCCCGGAACCACTCTTTGTATAGCTTTATTACACTTGCATTGATTCAACAGCGTTTTCCTCGACCCTCGCTGAAGTAGCATCCCCAATATTTGTTGTGTGCACAGAAGTAAGAACGAAACAAACATAACCGATTGAATTGCATCCATTGCGACGGAAATTATCGGGGCGAAATTATTTCAACTCCTTGTGGAAAAAGTCCTTAATGCCTAGCGTATCACAGGTGAATTGGAACAGCTTATCGCACTGGACCGAGTTCTTCCAGAAGCGATGGCAGCTGGCCACGCGGCAGTTGCTCAGGTAGGTACCGCCCTTGCCTTCCAGTTCCGGTGCGATGGCCGCGTACACCACGGTGCGGGATCCCTGTTCGGGGTTCTGTGGTGGGAGAAGGAGAAGGGTGAATTGGTTTTTGAAGGCACATGTCAACCAAATGGGGCATACCTTGAACAGCAACTGTCTGACCCACGGGACGTAGTTGGTGCTGGAGTGCTCGAACAGGTCCGTATTGACGACCCCGGGGTGCAGCGAGTGCGACTGGATTGGGTCGTTATCTTCCTCGAACTGGAGGTTGATGTGCTTGGTGAACAGGATCTGGGCTAGCTTGCTCTGGTTGTACGCTCTTGAGGGGTAGTAATTTTTGCTGCAATCAAACCGAAAAGAAACATGAACGGGGGTTGGGGGTCAGAAATTGCATCGTTAAAATTATCATGGCCTCGATGACAGACCGGTGAGGCGCTCTAGGCTGTTAATTTCGCACATCCCGTGCCTGGCGGTGTTGATGATGAAGCTTGTTCACCGGATACGGTGACAACAGCGATATCGTCGGCATTGCCATCGTTTCCATTTAACGGTGAGCACCGAACGAAACTCACACAACGTCAAACTAATTTGAATTTAAACAAATTTCCTAATGGCGCGTATCGGAGGACACCGTTTAGGAACCGAGTTACTGTACTTACGTCATGTTGATGTCGCTGTAGTTGATTTCGCCGATTTTGTTCACGCATGAGGACACATTTACGATCCGAGCATGGCAGTCCGGGGTTCCGGCGGCTCGGAGCTGCGGCAGAAGGAGGTGCGTGAGCAGGAAGTGGCCGTAGTGGTTGATGGCCATGTGCGATTCGAAGCCTTCCTCGGTGAGTTTGTATGGGACGCACATGACGCCGGCTGTAGGGCGGAACGAATGTAGGAATTTTAATTGAGTTACGGATTACGGTGTGACTGGTAATCTTCCAGGGTGGAAAAGGTTTTGTTGTAAATGTTCTAAAGGGTCAACAGATCGGACGAACAAAACGTCGAACGATTTGTGTCTCATCAAAACACTCCTTCCTTGGAACGATTTGCCGATATTGGCGATGACCTTCTGAACTTTCCATTTCGACTTATTGGCCCCTTAAGTTTCATTCGACGTTTTGTCCATTTGAACTTCTGTTCATTCAGCGATTATTAATCAGATTTACAATTTTTGCTATGGTTTAAAAACACAAATGCAAATGCTGTCAAAAATAGTGATTTTAGCGACCATGTTGTAGGATTACGAAAGGTAGTTTTGATGTCACAGCAAAAGTAAAATGTATAATAAATTGACTTATTAACTCGTTAGGAAAAGTTCGATAGGTTGAAATTCGGAAGCAATTTGAGAGTTCTGTTTGTGAGGTGCTCTGTCGATGTCCATGTAGTACAAGCCAATCCTGGACGGTATGTCTTGGATACAAGCTCGTACTCTTTAGTTAACTCGTTTATCAGTCATTTATGGTCCTGAAAAGGACCGATTGATTGGAAACTTGGCGGCCAGTTTAGAACAATGCTGCAGAAATGTGTCCTCGATGTTCTTGGAGATGATAGCGGTGCGGAAATGAAGTATATATTAGGGAACACACATCAATCATAGAACTACGACGAGCAACTGAATCCGATCAGTGGTTGAGGGCAGCCAATGGCACTGCTAACAGTGACGACCATGTGACTTGAGCAACACAATTACTAGAAGCCGTTAATGTGAACAAGCATCTACCTCCTGAACTACTTGAATAACAATAATGTGACACAGAATGTACGAAATTACACTTTTTGTTACCAGGTGAAACTTTGTCATTGACGAAAAATGAATGAGATTTTGACGAAGGTTTTTTTGAGAATCAAGTCTGTCAGTGACTATGTGACGAACAATTTGTCAATATCGCGCGAAAGTCTGTCACTGACAATGACAAATCGCAGCACTGCTTACCACACGCGGTGATTGAATGAACAGCATTTGTTGAGACTCGATGGAATTCAATTTTGAAATCTGTGCTAGGGAAAGCGCTTTTCGCAGGCAACCCTAATAAACAAATACCATAAACGAACTGTATCCCGGATAGGTAAACTATCCAACAAATGGTTTGGATGATACCCCGAACACGTCGTTACCCAAGTAACATTTTAAGTTTTATGAAATACTAAAAAGCAACTATAAAACAACATTCATAAAACCCTGGTCAAGGCTATTTTGTCATTAATGCATCCACCAAAACCTCATTAAGACTAGAATGTATCTAGTTGGCCCACCCTGGAGAAGGTTCTGAAGGGTGTATTCTCGAAGCTCTTCAAGATTGACTTACTGCAACAGGTTGTATGACGAACGCATTGAGAACCATTTGAAAGCTACAATAAAAGCTATTTAGCAACAATATAAACCCTTTCCGAGCCATTTTTCCTAGCCGCATGCTGAATCCACTAGAATCAAGATAGAAAAGGATTTATGAATCCGATCTTATCAAAATAATTAAAATAGAAACTGATGGTATAAAAATCTTGTTGAATATCCAAATTTATTACAATAGATCTTATTAAGTGGCCTAGTTTTAAGTGCCATATCAAATTGCATGTGAAATGTACGTGAAAACATCGAAAAAATTAAGCCCACCCTCGTAAAACGTCGATTTGAGTAATTATTTAACATTGAAAAAAAAAAATATATTCTTCAGATCGAGCTTGATCGAGATTTTTTTTTATTATTTTCGCATTTAAATGTTTGCTCATTGCTAAATTTACCAAAATATAGTTATATCTAAGGAAATATAGATTGAAAATCGAAGATTGTAAAAACACAAGCAAACTAATTGTAACATGGCGGTGGCATAAAAGTTGATTTTCATGGGTCATTTGTGAAAAAGTTGTTTTGCTTTCAAGAATTCCTTAACAAATCAATAAGGTTTTAAAATGGCTTTTATGAAGAAAACCTGCAGGCTGAATTGTATTTATCTAAAGCCATTTTGCTTGATCCTAACCCGTTCAGATTTATGGCAGCATTTATGGACGCAAAGTTGCCTGCAAAAAGTTAAACGTCAAAGTTTGTTTATCTTTCGATAGTTCCGCTGTGAGATCCAGGGTTCTTCCAGGTGGGTTTCTCCCGATAGATTGGGAGATTGGTTACTCAGACAGTTTGCGATACTGTTTTACAACATTTCGCATTTCGAACAGCTGAAAGCGCAACCGTTCCCGAAAAAGATCCCCTTCTTCCGGATGGTTACAGAAGTGCACCATCCAACGATGCAGGGATGAAAGCTTGAATGAAATTTTCGAAGAGTTGATTCTTTCGCCGAATAAAATCGCTGCTATGGATCGGAAACCAGCTAATCTCCGCTAACTAACAGTTTCAGTGGTTTGCTATCTGTTATCATCTTTTCGCAAGATCTGGAGAAGGCTGGTATGTTTTTTAAACTTTCGAGAATGTGCTATGAATTCGAGGGCCCCGCTCCGTTTGCTCTTCTCCGCCAGATGGTCAGTCGATGATGGTGTGCTGGTTCTTCTAAAGAAGTAAATTTTGCTGAAATCGACTTGAATTTTTCATCCTACTTCGTCTATCCTTCGAGATTTCCTTGTCATAAATTTGGCATTTATTAACTATGAAGAACCATCTTTTAAGCTCAATTTGTAAACAGAGTAACTTTAAAAAGCCTAAAAAGCAACAATAAATGCTTTTTGCTCTAATGCAAAACCTAATGGTTTTATGGTTGCTTTTATAATGATAGAACACATTTATAAAGTATTTTGTTAAGACATTAATAAACAATTGCTAATGACGTTTATGCTTGAATTACAGAACAGTTTTAAGGAGGGTTTGATGACTGTTTTAAATTTATTTAAAAAAAAAGACAGTTTTTGACTTTCTTGCCAGACTATAAAAGGTTTTTAAAACAGCAAAAAGCTGAATTACTAAGCAGGAATGTTTTATACTTTGAAATGCTATATTTAAACTAAATGGATTGTTCATTGCCATTATAAAACCATCATAAATCAGAGTGGATGCTAAATGGTTACGGAATTGTTACTTGGGTAAGCTCTCTTTTATGGTTATTTTTATTAGGGAATCGGTGACCATTTTATGATCATATCAACACTTGCACATTTGTGCAATTTTCAATAGTGACATTTTGATAAATGATAAATCCTTAATTTTAACAGATTCGTAGAAAAATTTCCTATCGATTTGCGTATTCAGAATTAAAATCCATCATCTCTGGATCAAAATCAGACCACTTTCATGCAGCGACCGACTTTGGATTCTGAAATTGCACTGTCAATGTTGCCTTAACAATGTATGATATGTTAGATTTTAACATATGGGAACTGACAAATGTCCAAAACATAATCTTTAACAAATTTATGGTGGTCCTGAAAAGGTCTGTTTTGTCGTGATGGTTAAGTAATGCTGAGTTATTAGCATTGGCGTAGCTTTTGAGGGTGCCAGGGGGGCCAGGCCCCCTCCAGAATTATCTAGGCCCCCTCCAGAATTTTTCGAGTTTTGTTTTGACTCACCGGTATTTTGTCAAGCTTGTTAAGTTCGATGGTATTATTTAACAGTGATTAATAAAATTGGACCACCAACAAAGATTTTTTTTTAAAGTCCCTTATGATGATTACTTTCGTTATGTTCTGGACTAGAAGAAATTTTTTTGAGAAATTATATTATATCAAATCGATGGCATAATAAGACGTCTTCAGGTTCTACAAATTGGCCATACGCTCAGAGATTTTTCTTTAACCTGTGAGAACTTCGTAAAACTTCAAATAGAAGTTCAGGGAAGATCGTAGAAATTAAGTTAACTCGGTAGGAATTCTGGGAACTTCATAGACCTTGAGAAAAAAAATCGTAGAAAAAAGGAACTTGGAAAAGTTCTGAAAACAGCGTAGAAGTAGAGAATTCAATTAATTTTGATGAGCTTCGTAGAAGTTTAAGGAACATTATTTTATTTTAGGGAAGCTTATTATTGATTGGGAACCTCTACATAATTTCAGGTTTTTTAAGCATCATGAACTTAGAATAGTTATGGAATTACAGTACAAATTCAAGAAACGAAGAAGTGCAGCAAACTTTGTAGAAGTTTTTCGAATTTCGTTGAATTTTGAGGAGCTGCGTAAAACTGCATATACGTAATTTTGAAAAAGTTAAAGAAATGTTGTAAAAGAACTTAAAAATAGTTCAATAAACTTCTAAGAGCTTAAGGGATCTTCGCTTCAGTTAAGGGAACTTCGTTGCAGTTTGTCAGAGATCTTACTCCAAAAAAGCTCCATGAACTTCTTGGAGGTTTTGCGAACTTCGCTATATTTCATGGAATTTTCTAGGTGTACAATAATATTTGTAGATGTCTTAGGCGTCTTTCCAGAAGTGCAAAGATGTTCAGAGATTATTGTGAAGATTTTTTGAAACTTTTGATTAGGTCAAACATATTACAATTATTAAAATTCTTATTTGATTTTAATATGGATGAACTAGAATTTTTATGAAATGCCTGTCTAGGAAAGATCTTGCAATTTTACCTTAGTCTTATAGTTAGGACAATTGATCAAAATTCGTTGACTTTTATTTACATTTGTATTCGAAGAATTTATGTTTCCAATCTGTATCAGATATATCCTTTTTTATTAGTCACAAAATCTTGAAAACGTATGGGTTTTGGATCATATAACTATTTTTATTTTAACATTCACAGTGTTAAGAATTGTGCATCTGCAGATTATGCATGTACGTAATTGATGGATTTGTTTGTTATTTCGACACTTTTGGACAATGTTTGACATATCATTTTCTTGTTGAAAATCAACAGTCAGAAGCATTGCTATCGATGCGTAGAAATAATTCTGATTTGGTGGTAAAATTATTAAAATTGGCATGAGTGATTAAC